AATACTAAAATTTGTTTCATTATTATTGTACAAATAACATCTTTTGTATATATTAGCTTTGTAAAAAAAATTTGAAATACAAAAACATCAGTAATCGCTAATATAGTTTTTTTTAGGCAATGAGATATGAAGCTCTACACAGATGATTTTTTTTGATGAGATGTGAATAGAATTTTTCTTGGGTTTAGTTGATGGATTAATGGGTCTTGGGTTTAGAAATTTTTGGGCTATGATTGGGGAAAGAGCCAAGTAGATAGAGGAAAATTAATATATTGAATCGGTTTGGATTGGATCGGTTTTCATCAACCAATCCGAAAATTCGATCCAATCCAATTAAAATTTGCGGTTTTTTTCGATTTTTGATTTTTCGGTTTTCGATTTATTCAGTTATCAATTTTTCGGTTCGATCATCGCGATTTGAATTGGTTTGGATCGGTTGATGAACACCCCTAACAATAACTCATGCAGAAAGTAATGGATCATTAATACATGTGTCTTCCACCATATAAGTTGAACTATTTTTCCCACCCATATTTTTGAAAATTTGATTTTTAAAAATTTTCAAAAGAAGAAACATTTCAAAAAATTTCAAGTGTAAACACAAATCTGAGAATAAAGGAGAGAGTGACACATCAACAAAGTTGCCAAAGTTTGGATGAAGATTTTATATATTAAGATAGATAGACATTATTTTATTGGGTGACTACCATAATAGTTAAAATTGAAATATTACCTAAAATTGAAAAGAAGATAAAAAAAACATAAAACAAAAAATTTTAAAGTAAAAAAATTAAAAAATATTATATATTTGATTGATCTTTTGTTGGACAATGATGTGTAATTTATTATTTTACATATAAAAATATTTGAAATTGGTATTTTTTTTTACAAGTATTTAAGTATATTTGTAGTTTTTTTAATATAAATTGTAGATTTACATATACTTACCAGGTCATGCAGTTGAACCAGTGATCCACGGGTTGAATCAGTGACCCAGTACCTCGACCGGGTCAATAATCGGGTCGAATTTAATAACATTGCCCCAAATTGGGGGAACTTTAATTTTACGAAGAAGGAGGATTTTGTAGGGTTTAGTAAAAATTCCCAATTTCTTCCCCACCTTTTTTTTAACTCCCAAACAAGGGAAGAACTTACTAAAACCCTCAATTTCCTTTCCTTCCCCTCCTAAAACCAACTCCCAAACAAAGCTAGATAGACAAACTCTTTTTCCTACTTTTAAATGTTTTTATTTGATTTAATTGGGCCCATATTTTGAAATAAGTCAACTAATTATTTTTGTGATTAAGTTTAGAAGTCTTTCTTTTTTAAAATAATAGGAGTAAGAATAAATAACATAACTGATTACAATAAAGCAGCAAAAAATAAACAGGATAAAAAATAAAAAAAGGTCAAACACAAAAAAAACCATACTATACTTGTTCCTTATTATTTTAGTTAATTATAATTAATTATATTTACAACCCAAATAATTTACAAACTCTCAGAACCATATCTTACAACTAAATACTTAATTAAATAATAAGTAAAAAAAAAGTATGTCACTGTCTCTTCTAATTCGTGTTTCGTATCAGATACCGCAAACCGAGTAGCCTTAACGCCATGGACGACCAAAAACTCAACCTCAACCTTTTCATCTAATAGAACCATCTTGTTAAAATCTTTTTGCTGAAAATTAGGAACCTTCGAAGTCCTAACCACTCTGGCCATAATCCTCCACTCCTCCTCAGTAGGACTAAGATCTTTTATCAAATCATATTTGGAATACACAATGAAACTTATATCAGATAATATTGGTTGAAAGCTTTTGAGGAGAAGAAGAGAAAGAAACAGAAACGGAACAAATATGACTAAATAAGATTATTACCAAACAAAAGCATGTTGTTCCAAAACACTTATTTATAAACGAATAATTTGAATTTTTCAATATTTTTGTCCTTTAAAAAATGTATTTCCAAAGATGAAAACAATTATTAGTCCTCACAATAACTAGGGATATTCGCGGTCTGGATTGGATCAATTTTGGAAGCAAAAATCATTCGATCCAATCCCTTCAGTTTGATAATGTAGTCATCCATTCGATTTGGATTTTTTTTTCAAATCCGATCCAATCCAATCCAATTTTTTTCGGTTTGGATTGGATCGATTTTCAGTTTTTTGAAAATCTTAAAATTTGTTTCATTATTATTGTGCAAATAACATCTTTTGTATATATTGGTTTTATAATTTTTTTTTTGAAATACAAAAACATCAGTAAACGATAATATAATTTTTTTTTTGGCAATGAGATATGCAGCACTACACAGATGAAATTTTCTTGATGAGATGTGAATAGATTTTTTCTTGGGTTTAGTTGATGGATGGGTCTTGGGATTAGAAATTTTTGGGCTATGATTGGGGAAAGGGCCAAGTAGATAGAGGAAAATTAATATATTGGATCGGTTTGGATTGGATCGGTTTTCATCAACCAATCCGAAATTCGAACCAATCCAATTAAAATTTGCGGTTTTTTTTTTATTTTCGATTTTGCGGTTTTCGGTTTTTCGGTTATCGGTTTTTCGGTTCGGTCACCGCGGTTTGAATTGGTTTAGATCAGTTGATGAACACCTCTAACAATAACCCATGCAGAAAGTAGTGGATCATTAATACATGTGTCTTCCACCATATAATTTGAACTATTTTTCCCACCCATAATTTTGAAAATTCGATTTTTAAAAATTTTCAAAAGAAGAAACATTTCAAATTTTTTCAAGTGTAAACACAAAGCAGAGAATAAAGGAGAGAGTGACACATCAACAGAGTTGCCAAAGTTTGGATGAAGATTTAATATATTAAGATAGATAGACATTATTTTATTGGGTGCCTACCATAATAGTTAAAATTGAAATTTTACCTAAAATTGAAAAGAAGATAAAAAAACATAAAACAAAAAATTTTAAAGTAAAAAAATTATAAAAAAATTATATTTTTGATTGATCTTTTGTTGGACAATGATGTGTAATTTATTATTTTCATATTAAAATATTTGAAATTGGTATATTTTTTTACAAGTATTTAAGCATATTTATAGTTTTGTTAATATAAATTGTAGATTTACATATACTTACCGGGTCATGCAGTTGAACCAGTGATCCACTGGTTGAATCAGTGACCCAGTACCTTGACTGGGTCAATAACCGGGCCGGGTTTAATAACATTGCCACAAATTGGGGGAACTTTAATTTTACGAAGAAGGAGGGTTTTGTAGGGTTTAGTAAAAATCCTCAATTTCTTCCCCTCCTTTTTTTTAACTCCCGAACAAGGGAAGAACTTACTAAAACCCTCAATTTCCTTTCCTTCCCCCTCCTAAAACCAACTCCCAAACAAAGCTAGATGGACAAACTCTTTTTCCTACTTTTAAATGTTTTTATTTGGTTTAATTGGGCCCATATTTTGAAATAAGTCAACTAATTATTTTTGTGATTAAGTTTAGAAGTCTTTCTTTTTTAAAATAATAGGAGTAAGAATAAATAACATAACTGATTACAATAAAGCAGAAAAAAATATAAAGGATAAAAAATAAAAAAGGTAAAACACAAAAAAAAACCATACTATACTTGTTCCTTATTATTTTAGATAATTATAATTAATTATATTTACAACCCAAATAATTTACAAAATCTCACAGCCATATCTTACAACCAAATACTTAATTAAATAATAAGTAAAAAAAAGTATGTCACTGTCTCTTCTAATTCGTGTTTCGTATCAGATACCGCAAACCGAGTCGCCTTAACGCCATGGACGACCAAAAACCTCAACCTCAACCTTTTCATCTAATAGAACCATCTCGTCAAAATCTTTTTGCTGAAAATTAGGAACCTTCCAAGTCCTAACGCCATAATCCTCCACTCCTCCTCAGTAGGACTAAGATCCTTTATCAAATCATATTTGGAATACACAATGAAACTTATATCAGATAATATTGGCTGAAAGCTTTTGAGGAGAAGAAGAGAAACAAACAGAAACGGAAAAAATATGACTAAATAAGATTATTACCAAAAAAAGCATGTTGTTCCAAAACACTTATTTATACACGAATAATTTGAATTTTTCAATATTTTTGTCCTTTAAAAAATGTATTTCCAAAGATGAAAACAATTATTAGTCCTCACAATAACTAGGGATGTTCGCGGTCTGGATTGGATCGATTTTGGAAGCAAAAATCATTTGATCCAATCCCTTCGGTTTGATAATGTAGTCATCCATTTGATTTGGATTTTTTTTTCACATCCGATCTGATCCAATCCAATTTTTTTCGGTCTGGATTGGATCAATTTTCGGTTTTTTGAAAATCTTAAAATTTGTTTCATTATTATTGTGCAAATAACATCTTTTGTATATATTGGCTTTGTAATTTTTTTTTTGAAATACAAAAACATCAGTAAACGATAATATAGTTTTTTTTTTGGCAATGAAATATGAAGCTCTACACAGATGAAATTTTTTTGATGAGATGTGAATAGATTTTTTCTTGGGTTTAGTTGATGGATGGGTCTTGGGTTTAAAAATTTTTGGGCTATGATTGGGGAAAGGGCCAAGTAAATAGAGGGAAATTAATATATTGGATCGGTTTGGATTGGATCGGTTTTCATCAACCAATCCGAAATTCGATCCAATCCAATCAAAATTTGCGGTTTTTTTTTATTTTAGATTTTCGGTTTATTCAGTTATCGGTTTTTCGGTTCGGTCACCGCAGTTTGAATTGTTTGGATCAGTTGATGAACACCTCTAACAATAACCCATGCAAAAAGTAGTGGATCATTAATACATGTGTCTTCGACTATATAATTTGAACTATTTTTTCCATCCATAATTTTGAAGGTTCGATTTTTAAAAATTTTCAAAAGAAGAAACATTTCAAATTTTTTCAAGTGTAAACACAAATCTGAGAATAAAGGAGAGAGTGACACTTCAGAAGTAATCCAAGTTGTTGCTGAGAAGCCTACATTGCCTAGGGAGCAGAGGGAGTACATTAGGTTTATGAACGTGAGGCGTAAGAAGGATTTCATATGTTTTGAGAGGGTTCATGGGAAGCTCGTTAACATCCTCAAAGGACTGGAACTCCACATGGGTATTTTCAGTGCTGCTGAACAGAAGAGGATCGTCAGTTACGTTGCTTCACTACAGGAGATGGGGAGAAAGGGAGAATTGAAAGGTTTGTGATCTCACCCTTCACTTCTAGGTTATTTTTCTATGTCATTTTTGTTATGTGTTTTGTAATTGTCTAATGATGCATGAATTAAATTGGCCTTTGATTGAAACCATTCCTTGTTTTGCTATTGTTGTTCTCTATTATTTTTCTATGTCTTTTTTGTTATGTGTTTTGTAATTGTCTAATGATGCATGAATTGAATTGACCTTTGATTGAAACCATTCCTTGTTTTGCTATTGCTGTTCTTTGAATTAATTTTTATTCGAGAAAGAAGAAAATAAACTACACCCAATCTGATGTATGTCCAAAATTGTAATCACTCTGTATGGCTTCTTGTGTTTCAAGTTTTATATAAATGCAATAGATTATTTATAGTGTTCCTTAAGCGCCCTTAAGGCGGTAGTGGTTTTTAACTCTATGAGGAAGGATGTGCCAAAAAAAAACTCTTATTGAAGAAAGTTGTTAACATTAGGAAAAATAAGAAAATATTATAATGTTTGACTATTTTAAGTAATGTGGACTTCACTACAGAGGCTATACTGCTAGAGGTTTTAGGGTTGGCTGCTAGGCAATCCGAGATTGATAATTATGATTTTACCCCTTCTGCATCATAATTGTAAGTTAGGTGGCTATGCTTTTTTGGGTTTCTTGCAGTTATGAGGTGCTAAAAGTGTGCCTCGCCTTTCAAAAAGGCATGCAATGCCTTGAGGCAGTGCCTCAACCAAAACTTAGTGCCTCGCCTCAGTGTCTTTTGATGCCTTTGACTACACTAGCCATGGGAAGTAACAAATTTATGTAATAAACTTTCATGTCTTTCCAGAATTTTGAGGGCTGACCAAAACTTAGTGAGGCCATGACTTTGGAACTAATAAAGAATTATTCTCCTTTAGGAATAAACTTGGTTGGGCTCAGACTTTACATCCATTGGGCCTTATTTTCCCAATTGACTATATCGTGTTGATAATTTGGTAAATGTGTTGGGTGGTGCTACTACCGAGGGGCTATATGATGTTAATTCTTAACTTTTTCAGATCGGACATTCACGGCTCCTAAAAAATGGATGAGAGGCAAGGGACGTGAGACTATCCAATTCGGTTGCTGTTACAATTATGCAGTGGTTAGTGCATCTTTCATGCTGACTTATCATTTCTTTATTTGGAAACAAGTTAACTTTAATGCTTGGTGGTGCAATATAATTGCTGATGAGTTTGTTAAGGGATGAAACTCTTAAAATCTAATTTTCTGCTTACAGGATAGAGATGGTAACCCACCCGGTATTCTTCCGCGTGGATCGGTGGACCCCATACCCGATCTGTTTAAGGTCATCATCCGACGCCTCATTAAGTGGCATGTGCTCCCTCCTACTTGTGTGCCAGACAGTTGCATTGTGAATATCTATGAGGAAGGGGACTGTATACCTCCACATATAGATAGCCATGATTTTCTTCGACCGTTTTGCACTGTCTCATTTCTTAGTGAGTGCAATATAGTTTTTGGGTCAAACTTGAAGATTGTGGGCCCTGGTGAATTTGATGGTTCATTTACTATTCCCCTACCTCTCGGGTAAGTATTTATCTGGATTTATCCACTAGACTCTTGTTTAGTTTTTCAACTTTTGCTCATGACTATAGACCGAGTTAGATTAAAATCTTCATCAATCTGCCTCTATCATTCAGAATCTTATAGTTTGTCCTTTTTGTCTAGATCTGTACTTGTCTTAAATGGAAATGGAGCTGATGTAGCCAAACACTGTGTACCTGCCGTTCCTATGAGAAGGTATTTACTTACTTTTATGATATTCTTCTATCCGTGGCTTTGACACCAATGACTTATTATTGATCCGTATTCTTTTTTTGTTAAAACTTTTATTAGGATATCAATAACATTTAGAAAAATGGATCCATCCAAGCGGCCTTTTGGGTATGTTCCAGAGCCTGATCTTCAGGATATCCAACCATTGGTCTATGAAGTTGACAAGGAAATGAAGTCAAGTGGACCAACACCAAATCGTCATAAGAGACATAGAGACACGAGAGGTGGAAGGACTGATGCTATGGGTTATGCAACTAGAAGGGATAGATTCGTTGGAGCCTCGTCAGTTGACCTAGAAGTGATAGAGGCCTGGAGCCTGGAGTAGGGTAGAAGCTAGAAGTGACAGATGCTGTGTTATTAGCATCCAAGCCAGGGCACCTGCTTTTTCTTTTTCTTTTCTTATTGTATAAAAATTGCCAAAGTGGAGGATTCATGACAAAGTGACATATTAGCAAAATTGCCAAAGAATAGTTTTTCTTTAATATAGATATAGATAGATAGATTGGTTTGCTTTGTGTTTTATCATTTTCTCTTGAGATTCTCCACGGAAATTTTGAAGTATTAATGGGAAAAATACCTAGTAAGCAGTCTTATGCATGCTAGAATGATGTTTACAATGCAGAATATAAAAGGTAAATAATAATAGGGTTTTATATATGTCATGTTGTAGGAAACTTATATTGTCATGTTATTCTAATATATTTCATGTGGGTCCCACACAAAAAGAAAAAAAGAAAAGAAAACAAGGTGGGGTCATCACTTTTTGTGAGTGACATGATGGTACAAGTTTTTTACAACATGATATATATAAAACCCATAATAATAATAATAATAATAATAATAATAAAATAATGAAAAAAAAAACGTTTCTGTTTTTATTGCAAAAAAAAAAATTTCTGCCACCACTCACTCTTTAATAAGTGGTGATAGAGAAACTTTTTCCTCAGAAAAACAAAAACATTAAATGCTAAAGAATAGGTATTTTTGAAATTATTATTATTACTATAAAATTTTTAATTCATTTTAAATTGTTATTTATTTTAGAAATTAAGAAGATATTTATTTTAAAGTTTATCTGTATCTCTTAATATTAAGTGAAATAAAAGAAAATAGTAATGAAGTATAAGAATAATTTAATTGAATATAATTACATTTCTAAAAAAATAAGTGTATTTGATGAATTTCGTAATATTTCTATAAAACCGAAACAATTTTAAAACTAATGATTTACTATAAATAAATTAGTCTTAGCTAGTACAAGTGTACAACAACCATAAGTCCATAACTCCATAACTATCTTCATCTCGTTTCGTATGACTCTTAGATAGGGGTGTAAATGGGCTGGGCTAGCCCGGCCCAGCCTACGGTAATCTTGGCTTGACTCGTCCTTTTAGGAAAGTAGAGTAGGCTTAGGCTTATAAGCAAGCCTTTTAACAAATAGGCCGTAGGCCAATTTTGCCAAGCCCGGCCCAAAGCCTTGTAGGCTGGCCTATTTAATTTATTAAAAATAAAATAATAAAATAATATTTATTTTGTGTGGCATGGCAAAGTACCAATGCCAACCCTAATTTTTATGTGTACAGCACCGCCGCTTCTCATTCTCGGCTTCGTCTTTTCTCTTGTACCAATACCAACCCTTGTAGGCTTCGTCTTTTCTCACTCTCGGCTTGTAGCCGGCAATTTCCGACAGCCACCTCAAATTGGAGCTCCTTTGTTTAGGTAAGCAGCGTACGCTCCTTCTCTCCTCTTTCTTCTAATCTTTTTATTTCCCTTCATAATGCTCCATTTTGTGATCTTCTTTATGGTACACAGAACTTGAAGACTTCAATCTCTCACTCAACACTTTCAGATCGATGTCTCTCTTGGACAAATTGACAAGGTTTTTATTTTTTATGCAATTTTATTTCTTACTAGTTACTACACACTGTTTCGTTTTCATGTTTTCTTTCCCTTTAAATTTGGAGTTTTTATCACTGCATGTGGAAAACAAATACTGGGTTATGGACTTGTGGTGTGTTTGATCTCATCCTTTTCTTTTTGAGATGTCTGTAATCTTTTGGAAGTTTTTAGTCATGTTACTAATGTCATATCAGGTAGTGACTATCCCACAACCAATTTATATCTCACTGAAGTTTATAGGGTTAAAGAAGTAATTTATGCTGCAATTGAAGATAATGATGATTTTATGAGAGAAATGGCAAGGCCAATGAAAGTAAAATTTGACAAGTATTGGGGGGAATGCAATCTGCTGATGGCCATTACTAGTGTTCTAGACCCAATGTGCAAATTGCATGTGGTAAATATTTGCATCCCAATTATATACAAATCAGAAGTTGAGGCAAGAGAAAATGTTGAAAAAGTGAAGCAAGCTTTAGAAGATTTGTACAATGAGTATTGTGCTCTAGGTTTGCAAGAGCCAGTCTCTAATAGTGAGCTAGAAACTACTGTGAATCAATCATCCTTGTCTTCCACTATCCACCTCAAGGTCCTAAATCTGGATTTTCTAAAATCATGAGCATTGTGAGTGAAAAGGAAATTGTTCCCCCAATAAAATTAGAGTTAAAAAGTTATCTTGAAGAAGGGGTTTATATATGTGATGAAAAATTTCACATTTCCTTTAATGCCTTGGAATGGTGGAAGGCCAACAGCTTGAAATATAGAATTTTATCAAAGATGGCAAGAGATATATTAGCTATTCCAATTTCTACAGTAGCATATGAGTCCACATTTAGTGCTGGTGGAAGAGTAATCGATGCTTATTGTGCTAGTTTAGGCGAAGAGACCATTGAAGCATTAATTTGTGGTGGAGTTTGGCTACGAAACAAGTATGATTTGAAGAAAAAAGTAAAAGGTATAAATAGAATTCTTGTTATTAAGTACTTAATTGTTATTTTTCCTCGTATACTGCTTAGGCTTTTCTGATTTTATTTCATTTTTTTTCTATCTAACCTTTATGATACTTTTTATGTATGGCTAGGTTGATGGACCTGTGTTGCCTATGTTTCAATGCCTTGAAGTTTTTTACAGGTAGATGAAAATTTCTGCACTTTTTTGTCGTTTAAATTTCTGCACTTTTTTGTCATGTTATTTTCTACCTTGAAGTGTGATGTTGTCTACTGTTTCTTTGTTATGGGATTTGGCCCAATTCATAATATCCTTTGTGCAGAGATCTTCCCTACACAGGTTCGTAGTCTGTGCATTGCTATATGTGCTCTTACTTTTTGGATTGGTTACATCATAGACTCATAGTCATCTCTTACTTTTTGTGCTATTTTATTTTATGAAAGGAAAACTTGTCTAATGTCTCCAAATTTTACATGTTGTTGCAGCTTAATACCATGGAGCAATGGGTACCTTGCTGGATTATGATGTTACTGATGAAGATCTTTCAATAATACTCTTCTTTCCCTTGTCTTGATGGTGGTTTAAAGATTTTTAGATGAATGACATTCTCTTGTAGACTTTATTTCAGCTTTCAGTAATTGTATTTTTCTTATTTTCCCATTTCTTTGACTCTATTCCTCTATGATATACATTCTAGAGCTGGGGTATTATGTTGACTCTTTCTTGTTTGTCATTTTTTCTTATGAGAAGTACTAGTGTATGGATGAATGAAATTTTCTTTGCTCTATACAATTATTTTTTTGTCTTATTATATACAGTGGTAGGCCTACAAGGCCTGTAGGCCATGACAGACTTTCTTATTTTTATAAATGAGCCAGACTTGGCCTACAAATAAAGCCTTCAATAACTCAGTAGATCAGATAAGTTGAATTTTTTTTAAGGTAAGCTTAGGGCAGGAAGGCTAAAGCCTGGTCCAATCCAACCCATTTACATTGAATGAGAACAAACCCAATTCGTAGAACTATAATTTGTACGAATGGTTTTGAGGGGAGAAGCCTTTTTTTTTTTATAATTTAAATCTTGCACTTTTTTCTATATCCGACTTTCGGATTTTTATGGTACAATGTCTTTCTTTTATTTGGTCTCATGTGGATATTTACATATAATTCAAGTTGAAAAATAGTGTACTAAATAGCTTTGTTGTACAAGAGAAGGGATAATATAATAGGAGGAGTTTAACTTCTCCTGCACACCTATCAAATCCGATTCCAAGCTTTTTTTTATTTATTTAAAGGGCAATGATTGTCTTCAGCCACATGTGATAAGAGCTTTTTCCTACTGATACATGAAACTATGTGTCAAATTTATTTTTATTTTTTATTATTTTTTAAAAACAATGGTCCCACCATTTTGTTTCAACAGGAGATAAGATTTTTATTTATGTAAAATAAGAAAAGTTTTCCCCTTATTTAAAAAATGGATGAGACACCACTTCTGTTATTGTAGGAGAAGTAAAACGTGAGAAACATATATCCTATTGATCGATAGATAATTAGGAAAAGTGGGTATTATTTTAAAAGATACAAAGTTGTGTCATTTCAAGTGAGAGAAAGAAATAAATCGTGAAATAAAAAAATGAGTGAATTTTTTTTTTTAAAATATAAATCTCACCTTTTTGTGAGAGTGAAAGAATATAAGGTGTATCATTTAAAATGACACACCTTTTTTTCTAGATAAATATGTTAGGCATTTTTTCTTTTTTGACCCCACATAATACTGTGTGTCCTACAACATAAAACACTTAAATCCCTAGTTCTAGCATTCCTAATAGATTCTTTTACAAATTCAAACTATATTTGGTCAAATTTTTTACGAACATATAATAAATGCGTATATTTAAAAAATGGTTAGTTTTTTCAACAATATTTTTAAGAAGTTTAAATAAATAATTTTTTTTCAAAATAAAGTAATTTTATTTTGGATACAAAATAAAGTAATTTAAACACGAACGATTAACGAATGTGTTATTTTTTTTTTATTTTTTTTGGAAACACGAATGTGCTATTTCTTAAGTAGGCTGGATTGGTGCGCTGGAACGAGTGTCACCCATACTAAAAAGTAAGACCCAATCACATTTTAAAATTATCCATGTCATTCGGCACATGCAGGATCTGGGCTTTATAATAATTCCTTTCCTCATAATATATATTTAAGAAAATTTATGGGCAAGTCACGGGGTATATTGCCATACGAAATATATTGTTAATTTTAATTTTCAGTTATTTCACTAATATAATGTCTCATACTCTATACATGTTAAGATCAAATACGCAATATTTTTATTGGAATTATATGGGTGACGAAGTTCAAAATTTGATTAATCCATATTCAAATACATAAGATTTAAACCGAAAGAAAACATTGATTGTGTTTTCGGGGAACTCATGCACATGATTCACTAGTCATCATCAGCCGGAAAAAATATCTGCTTGGATATGAAAAATAGAAGGGCCCAATGCAGTATTATTTTTTCTTAAAAAACAAAGGAAATTAATAAGAATTAAGCACAAAGCCTGGGTCTACTACCGCCCATCACATCTCCATGAAGGAGAGCTCTACATCCCTCCGGAGGGTTAGACAAAATACAAAGATTCCAATCTTCATGGTCCTGATTGAAAGGATCACTAAGATATTAGGGTTCTAATTGAATTAAAGGGTTAAAGTCATTAAGATATTAAAATTTAACTAATTACTTTTAGAAGATGAATTATTATTGAAATTCATTTAAATTACTTAAAGGAGAATCGGAGGTGAAATAATTCTTAGCTACAGTTTTCATCTTTGATATTTAAAAATCAATTTTAAATTCTTTGTGTTCTTGCATGTTCTTTATTTTCATTGCAATTGCCTTAAATTTTTTTTTATTCAAAATTTATTCTCTACATTAAATTGATTCGTCCGAATTAGAGTGAATGTGAGAATAATACTTGGTATACTTGCCGTGATCGCAATAGTAACACTGTTGAACTTTCCAAATTTGATCTCTTGGTGTAATACTTCAAGAACTTCTAAACTCTTCTCTGTCAAACTCATTATCTCCAAAATGTGTAACTCCTTTTTATATTGATCAAACTCATCACTTGGTTTACGGAGACTCGTGAACATGGGGAATTTTGGTATACGAGAGACTTGATCTTAATCTACACCATTAAATACTTGATCATGATTGTGTTGCTACACTACTAGAGACTAGATCGTGTTGATAACATGTTATGAAACTAAGAAAGAAAATAAAGACCAAATGGTGGTAGCTCAATTGGCTCATGGGAGTTAAGCAGGTGGGGGTGAGAGCATGTGTTCGAATCTCCCCAATACCATCTTTGGGAGGGGTTTAAAGTCTTAATCCTGGACCCGCCCAGAATCGGATTAGTTGCGAAGCAATGAACCGATTGGAATATTTCAAAAAAAGAAAGAAAGAAAATAAAGACATATTATAAAACCAAGAGAAAAAATATAGACAGTATGAAATAAAGGGAGAAAGTAGGAGAATATCACCAATCCTAATTGTCTTCTTTTTGGTAGAGTAAATGCCTTTATATAGGACTTCAACGATGAATAGGGAGACTAATTACACATTAATGCACTATTATGTAAAATGATTACAATTCATACCAAAAATTATAGGCAAGCAAAAGGTCACGTTCTAAAATTCCAATAATCATCCATATATAAAATTCATGTTTTACATCAGTGTTCAATTTATTTATCTTTATTTAGGGAAGAAAAAATGAAAATTATATATGGTGTACCAAAAATCAAATGAAAAAGTTGATTGGACGCAAGTTAATCAATTCGTTATTCACTACTTACTAGTCACCCAAAGTACCTCATGCTTAATTAAAAGTTAACAAACCCCATGAATTACGTTTTAGCATATAATCGACAAACCCCGGAACAATATAATTAATAATAATAAATGAAAAGATAAAGGAATGCTCTTTTGAGGCGCATTCAATAAGCAGAGTGGCTTAAGACCACCTTTGACCAAAAGGTTAGACCTCCTTAGAGGAGACAATTAGAGGCTACAGTTTGTAGTCCCAGATGTTATGATACTGACAAGAACTTAACTTTCTTAGGGTAGGAAGTCTTATTAGGGGTTTCTCCTACAATCCCCTTTTCTAAACGTTGGTCCACTGCTTCCCCTATCGTTTTACTACTTTATTTTTATTCCTCCTCCTTTTCCTCCCCTTCACATTCCTATTCCACTTCTTCAATGTTGGTACTTTGAAACCTTACCTGGCACTACCAAAAAAAGATCCCGTCAACAACAAAATCACTAGACCAATCCCAATCAACCTAGCCATAAAAGGTCTCTCTCACTCTCTCTCTCTATAGTCTCAATGGATCAATGTTGAACTAAACAAAGAGGAATGTCCCTAACCCCAAGTGAGAGAAAGACAGACATTCCAGTTGTATGTTGTTGCTTTTGAGGAATGTAATTCTATGCTTTCCTAAAGTTTATTATAGCAATTATTGTGTTATTTATTTTAACATTATTGTGTATACATAGTCCTACTATGGTAGAATATAAAATGTGGCTAACGCTGCTGTCCAACACATTTGCATGCATGCACGCAAGAAAATACTCCACTATACCCACGTGGCATCTTGGTTGACGATATTATTTATTACAATTAATTATTAAATCAATTTTAGGATTTTCGTCGGATTAGGCGTTAGATACGATTTGGGCAATTATTATTTCATTTTCTTTATTCGCTTTACATTGGGAAAGTGAATCACTGTGACAGGTGGGTCCCATCAAATCCAACGAGCCACGTAACATCATGATTAACGAGAGCAATACATGTAAGACCGTGGACAACTGCGGTTGTGATGAGGCGGTGACCACTATTTACACCACACGCATGCACGCTCTCGTTTGAAGAAATTCTAATATCCTGGACTATGGCAAGAAGTACATAAATTATATGTTATTGAATTAAAAATATATCATTAAATTATTCCAAAAGTATCTTATTATATTAAATTTAAATGGTTGTTAAACTATTAAAAAATATTCACAAAATGGATAAATTGGTTCCTCATTCTAGGTTCTCACTAATAATGACCGAGGAGTTTATTTATTTATGATAAAAAAATATACATATACATTTCGTGATAGTGATCAAAATGTCATTATTTATAAAAAAATTATTTGAATATCACGTGCTGAAATTTTTTTTCCAAAATGCTACGTCACCTAATTCGCTATAGCATTTTGCGAGTTAAGTATGGACACATGACATCAAATTTCTGACCACGTAAGTTGCTGCACAGTGCAGCGAGGTTATGTATTATATGTAAGTAGCTCAGCAGTCTAATATTTTTGGTCTAATATATTTATCACTCTAAAAATAATTAATTAACAGTTCTAAAATAATTTAAATTAATAAAAGTAAATTAAACTAAATTAATTAACAGACATTAAATTAAATTTAATTAATTAACACCCCTAAATTAAATTAAATTACTTAACAATTCAAAACAATTTTAACTTAAGAAATTAAATTAATTTAAATTAATTAACACTAATAAAAATAATTAATTAATAGTTTTAAATTAATTTAAATTAATAAAAACTAAATTAACATAAATTAATTAACAGACATAAATTAAATTTAATTCATTAATACTCCTAAATTAAATCAAATTACTTAACAGTTCAAAAATAATTTAACTTAACATAAACTAAATTAAATTAAAATAATTAACACTTCCAAAAATAATTAATTGAAAGTTCTAAAATAATTTAAATTATTATAGATAAAATTAAACTAGATTAATTAGCAAACATAAATTTAATTTAATTCATTAACATTCCTAAATTAAATTAAATTTCTTAAAAGTTAAAAATAATTTAACTTAACATAAACTAAATTAAATTGAATTAATTAACACTCCTACATTAAATTAAATTAATTGAATTAACAGTCATAAATTAAATTATTTTAACATAAGTTATTTAAAACTAAAATATCCATGCCTATATTAATTTTCCATAAATCATTTTATTTCAAAATACAAAATTCAATAATTAAAATTATCCTACAATTTATTAGACCACAATGATGCAAGTCAATATTAGGCGACTTACACATAATATGCTATGCAGCACAGCATGTATGCATATATGCCGACGAGTCAGAAAAGCTGACACGTAACATGTTATGCAGCATAGCGAGTTTGACATATGTTAGACACGTAACACGCCAAGCTACCTGATGTTTTATGCCGTGTGGCAGGTTGTGGTAGAAATTGTCTGCCATGTAATCTCGCTGCACTGTGCAATGACTTACGTGACCATGAACCTACTACTACATGTCCACTCCTAACTTACCAGATGTTATAACGAGTTAGATGATATGATATTTTGAAAAAATATTTTCCATCCGTGACATTCAAGTAATTTTTTTTTGTAAATAATATGATATTTTAGTCGTTTTCTCTATACATTCCCTCACACGTCACACGTGAACCAAACCTAAGCAGAAGAAGGTTCGGAGTGAAAAAGTTCTGAGTTTCTTACTTATATGCTCAAATAATATATTTAGTCAATTAAAAATACGTATAAACAAAATAATTATAATAAAACTTAGGGCCAACAATCATTTCTTGAAGCGATAAGAGTATGTTTCCTGAGGTTTCAAATTTAAAAATTAAGAATAACGATAATAATATTGGAAGATAGGAAAAAAATGAGTGGTTAAGTATATTTGATTTTGCAATAATCTCATTTAAAATTTCAAAGTGAAGGGTTATTTAAAAAATCATAATTTATGAATCCACACAATAATTTAACCAAAATGTAATTATGAAAGCACTAAAAATTAATTTGAGAGTGTGCTAGCTAGAGTAAGATCCACGTTACATGAGGTTGCGTGAGGATGTAGGAAATGTGTGTAAATGACAACATAATTCTTAGTTTGCATCTTGGGCTAATCGTAGTTTACAAAGCGAATAGAGAGCATCTTTTGGAAAGCGGTGGTCGTCCCCGTTTGTCGAACTGGCTTCATCAATCTCTAGACGATCTGATTCTCTCTCTCTCTCTCCGTGAATGTTTTTGAATCTTTTGATCGAATCGGATCGATATTCCAGAGGAGGTTGTTTGGTTTGGCTATGATGAATGTGGGGTCCCTTTGTGCATTTTTTCTTCATTTTTAAAATATTTTTGGTTTTAATTTATTTGGATTTGGTTTTGAATTTTTGTGACACTTTTCTTTTTGGTATAGTTTCTATCTTTGACCCATTGAAATCTGTTGTTGTCTAGTGGACTAGACACATAATAAGCCAAGTAAGAAGCAAGGGTTGCTTTGATGATTGCAAGGTATCCCATTTGGGGGTACCTTTATCTCTTTCTCTCTCTCCAGCTTTTTTTTTCCTTAGAGTGTGATCCAAAAATCAATCCAAATCTGAGGGATCTTCTCTTCTTCAACTTCGGCTAATAGTACTGTTGCTCCATAAGCAACTGGTCCTAAAAAGCAATGTGGCTGTGATGGTTTGGATTCGGGGCATGAGGTTACTATCATGACGATTGACGAACTTTTCTTTGTTTTGGATTCACGTGATTCCCACGGTACAGTTAGTCACTGATGGAAGTGAGCTTCAAAAACTGGTTGTTTTGGTTTGTTGTTTGCAGATTCGAAGGATGGGACGGTCTATAACAGCTAATGGAGTGGGGATATTAGGAGAAGTGGTCATTGTTCTGTTGAAAATATATCTTCACATATAGGCACACTCACTAACCCCACAAATTGGACATATCCCACACCTCATCAAAGTGCGTGACACCCAAAAACTAATCGTTAATTCATAAGTATGTTTTTTTTTTTCTTTTTATAACTTTAACCCATCAATATTTAAGTTAAAACCATAAACATTCTTTGGATTAATTAAAAACATGTGAATACCCTTGTAAATATAGTAAGATTGTGTATTGTAAACTCTTTTAGTACTAATGTAGCAGATATTTTTTTTATTAAATTTAGAAATAAGGAGAGAATCATGTGATATTTAATGATAAAAAATGGGTGATAGATATTTCTAATGAATTTCAGTGAGTGATACTCTGAAACTTCATTACTACACCAATACTTCAAAGAATTTTCATCGTGCATGTAAATGTAGCGGGAGCTTGTACAATTCCAAAATGCAAAAAAAAAATAAAAAAAAAAATGTAACTTCAGTTTCACTTACATGATGATATAATTAATGGATTTACACTTTCAATTCTAATACAGATAAATGCTTTGTATCCACCTTCACGACTTCACCACAAAATTAACGTGAGAGAGAGATAAAGCTGTTCAAAATATCAAAGTTATGGTAATTAATATAGAATTTAATATTTTTTAATTATAAGAGATAAAATTATTTTTTATACAAACATAAAAATAAGAAAAATATAAGCTCAACGAAGTAGGATTCTTTAACACTTCGTCTGAGAGTCATTAGATAAAAAAATTAATAGTATTACATACTTACAAATCAGAGTCGTTATTTTTTTTATCTAATAACTCTCAAATAAGATATCAAAAAATTCTGTTCCAACCTCAATATATTTTTATATATGTGTATTTTACTTTTTTTTTTTTTTTTTTTTTTTTTGTACATCTGTGTATTTTACCTTCTATTAACATGAGAAATATTATACGATTAATATATCGGAATATAACAGGTGCAGGTGTAGAGTTTTAATTGTAGCAACATTGGGATTAGAGCGTGGTTGGGAAGTGGAGAGAGGGGAGCGTGAGAATAAGTATTAACGGGAAGGAAACTATTCCATTTTCCATTTTCCATTTTCCTTGGGCAGTGGCAGAGATACGGATACAGAGACAGAGGCCTTTTTTTGATGTATTGGGTTTGAGACTAATAAAAGCCTCGTGATCGGAGAAGGCATATCCATGGAAGACTGTTCCCACTGTCACGTGGCCACTTTTGACTACCCAATGACCAAACTCTCCTCGCACTAACTCTCCCCTCTTCCTATGTTACCACTTCACTTCACTCCACTCTTTTACTATTATAAATTGAAATTATGCAACTGAAAATTTCAAGCACAGTAACAAACAGTTACGCTGGAAGAAAAACTCTCAAAACACTTGGGTCGTACCCTACCACCACCACATTCACTCTCTGACTCATTGACTGCATAACTCAGTCTTCCCCTTGATTTCTTCTCACTTAATAGAACACTTTCTCTTTCCTTATAACACAGCCAGTGGGTTCCACTCTATTTATCTCTTTATAGTTTTATTTATAGCTCGCTCTCATTCCTGCCTCCAAAAATAAAAATAAAAGAATAAAAATTAAAAAGAAAAGAATTTCATTTGCAGTTATCGACAACGTGGACTGCAGGTGCTGACTGGTATTTCGCCATTTTATTAGCTTATAAAGCTACCTGACAACACCCACTTCTCATTTCTCCCTCACTCTCTTCCTTCTAAGTTCTCTTTACATTTCAAACGTTTTATTATTTCTGAGTCTACTTTTTTACTATCATTCTTCCTCCCTAACCTTTCACATCCATTTTGCTATCTTCATTTGGAAGAAAACGTTTTTTTGTTGCATAATCATAGAGAAGAAGAGGAAGAAAATATCAACCAATGATGCATCGTTGTTGCAGTAGCTCTCAGGGGCACGTGACGGGAACGTGCACATGCGGTATGTTTCATGGCCAAACCAATTCTTACCCTATGCTATTCTCCATGCCCAATCAAAATCCCTACGATGATTATGAATCCGACGTGTATTCCTTCACGCCCTCTTCTTCTTCCGTGGACTGCACGCTCTCCCTTGGAACCCCATCCACACGTTTAACTGAAGACGAAGAGAAACGAACCCGCCATGACCGTCGATCTTCCGTCACCAATTTTTGCTGGGATATATTGCAATCAAAACACAACCCACAATCTCAAAACAAATCCAACAAAGGAAGCAATGGTAACAACAACAACAACAACCACAATGATCCTCTCCTCGCTCGTCGTTGCGCTAATTGCGATACCACTTCCACACCCCTTTGGAGGAATGGTCCTCGTGGCCCAAAGGTAAAAATAAATAAATATTTTTTTTTTTTCAAAAACTATAAATTGTTACATTATATAACTTTTTTAAAGCCTCGTATATTCAAACGAATTTCTGTTTTTTAAAATGAGGTCCTTCCACTACCTATTTAGTTTCCGTGCACTAATTAAGCTACATTTTTTATTGCATTTTATAATTTATGTTAAATGTATTATTTAAAGATTGGGTTGTATCTGAATTGAATTGCAGTCACTATGCAATGCTTGTGGGATTAGATTCAAGAAGGAAGAGAGAAGAGCCAGCGCTGCAGCCGCCGCCGCCGCAACAACAGCCGTGGCTCACGACGGTTATAGCTACCAGAACAACAATTCGTGGTACGCACACTCGCAGGTTCATGATTCCGATAGAGACTCAGAGAATGGTGTTCCTTTTCTGTCTTGGAGACTTAACGTTGCAGACAGAACAACGAGTCTCGTTCACGACTTTACAAGATGAGAGCGTTGAACGACATGATGACAGCCATAATCCATTAATAACTGAAAGAAAAAAAAAATGACAAAAGCAACTAGCTAGCTACCTTGACGTTCATGACCAAGCAGGTGTACGACAACGTTTTACGATGATGATGTAGATGTTTTTGATTGAGATGGTTTCGGACTAGTCAATGTGTTTTTTTTTTTTTAAACCTTTTACTTTTTGTTTGGTTCCTTTTTCTCCGTCTTGCATAAGATGGAGTCAGAACGGGATAATTCTATGTTCTCAGTTTGCTTTTTCTTTGGTTTTATTGCTTTTTCAGTTACTTATTAATCCTACCTTTCTGTTGGTTCACTTTCCCTGTCGGTTTTATATATTATTTTAAATTTATGGTGACCATGATCATGATCACATATGGACCGTTTGATATACATTTATTGAAAAAATTATTCTCATGTTATATAATAGAGTTTGGTGTTTGGTATTTCAAATTACATAAGTTATTTCATTTTAAAAAAGAGATAGACACAGAAAAAATAGAAATCATGAGAGAGAGAAAATAGGTGATTTTTTTAATTTAAAATTTAAATAAATTTTTTTTTTGTGTCTGTCTCTCTCTCAAAAGGACAGAGTGTTATGTCATTTAAAATGACAAATATTTTTCCTTATATAATATTAGTTTTTTTTCTACACACCTTTTTATAATTGTGCAGTCTTTTTCTTTTTCTTTTTTCTTTTTTTCAGGTGATGAGACTCATATATTTATCTCTATGACATACGATAACTTATCTCCTTTAACATGAGATTAATAACACCCTACATTTATTATATATAATGGCGATTTTTTTAGGCTTTATGCTCATTTCATCATGTGAGACTATACCAAAGTAAGCCTGTAACTTAATTTATATTTATTTATTATTTGTTATTTTCCAGAATACTTAATTTTTTTTTTTTTGAGATATTCTAATCTTTCAATTAGGACAAATCTTGATATTAAGAACTTAAATCTCTCCCGAAAATAAATACTAAAAAAAATATCGAATATTTTTTTTTACTCCACCTACTTAATTCTCATTATTATGGTTTGGTAGAATACCTGAGCTTCTTTTACACTAACAGAGATACACTTTTAAGAAAAGTGTCGAGTTAGTGAAAGGTAGATGCATTAATTCGGTTTTGGTAATTCTGACAGTCCAATACCTACGTTGGATCACTATTCTCTCTGAATCGGACATCGTGTGGTTCAGAACAGTAAAACTGAAATGTCTTTTAGAATAATGCATCGAATCGTACCGTCCAAATAAAGCTAGATGCCAACAAAGATAAAAAAAATTTCATGATCAAAGTATCAAACTGTCCATGATTAATTACTAGTTTGTTTGTTTTTTTTAACATAGAGGCATCAAAATTATCTAAGACAATGTAATAACAAAATGAAATAAATTAATAATATTATTTGGTATAAACGTTTTTAAAATTACAAAACATATCGTCAGCTTCAGATTAATTTTAACTAGCTATCTAGCTTTATTGTAACCATGTTATTTTTATTTTTAAAAATACTGGAATGAAAACTAAACAACAATAGAGATTCTGGGGCTAATCACGCCCATCGTGTGTCCCTACTCAACAGCAAGTTGCAATCAATAGGGAGTTCAAGCATAACATGCAAGTCCCAGTCAAGCAGCAACCCTCCCTTGTTAGCTAATCTATCTGATGCCATATTACCTTCCCAACAAGTATGGCTTAGTTTACAGTTCTATTGCCTTCCCAGGATATTTTGGATTCGATGGATCAAGGGAGCCAAAGAATGCTTCCTACCACAACCTTTCTCAATGAGGCACATGGCCACTTTGGAGTCACCTTCAATCCATGATTTTCTTAATCACATGTTCTATGCAACCTCAATACAGCAAACAAAATCCCAAAGTTTCGCTCTAGTAGAAGATCCCATCCCTAAGTTCCTACAGAACCCAGCTAGCCATCTGCCCGAAGCATTCCTGACCACCCCTCCACAGCTAGAGATCCTACCTCAGTTAAGACAGGAGTCATTCAAATTGAGCTTGCACCAATCTTCTTCGGGGAATTTCCAACATATGAGCCTCTCCTCCTTCTCAGAAGCTTGGAGACCTTGCTCGCAGAGAGCTCCATCTGGTTCACAAAGACCTTGCCAACAATAAGAACACTTGGATGCATTTGGAGCCTTTCCAAGACCAAGCACTCTCCACATCCGAGTTGACTTAGCTAGAATCCCTACCAACTAACAACTGATAAGCAGACTTGACTGAGAAATTACCATCACCGATAAGATTCCAAAAAATGCACTCCTCACCGATAAGTTATTGAGGGGGAAAGATGTTAACGATGAGAGCACAAGTATCAAATGAGACAAGTTGATAAAGGATACTCCAATCCCAACTTCCATGCGCATTGACGAGATTCCTCACCGACCAATCATGAGTTGCCTCAGGAAGTTGCATTGTATCCTTCACAACCACTTGGCCATTCCAAGGCAACCAATTGTCCTTCCAGAAGTTAGTTTGTAGCCGATTTCCAAGCTGAATCATGGACCCTTCAATAACTTTCGGCCAAACACGAGATATTCCCTTCCAAAGATCGGAGCTTGAGGTTTAGCACTAATCATAGGAATTAGCTTGTCCCTCATGCCATATTTATTTTTGAGAACACGAGACCAAAGGTTGTTCCTATGAGTTAACAGTCTGTGACCGATCTTTATTAGGAAGGCTTGGTTAGTATCTTTCATTCTTCTTAGACCAATACCCCATCTTCTTAGGTTGCCAAACCTCTTCCCAAGCCATAAAATGTATCTTCCTCTTCTCTCTACAAGACTTCCAAAGGAAAGATCTCGACTTTCTCTCAATCTCAGCACAGGTAAATGATGAAAGGAGGAAGGTTTGCATCGAATAACAAGGAATCATAGACAAAACTGATTGGACAAGTGTCACTCTACCCGCAAAGGATAATGTTGCTCTTTTCCAATTTTTGAGTCTGCTATCAATACACTGAAGAATATAGTTAAACGATGGGGTCTAACCCTATCATTGAGCATAGGGATGCTAAGATATCTACCCATGACTTGGACTATCTCAACTACTCTATTATAGTTTATGTTCCAAGAGAAAAAAATTTGGGTTTTATCATTGCTCACTTTTTGCCCAGAAGACTCACAAAAACAGCCAAGGATATCACTTATTAACTTAGCTTGAACAATAGAGGTTTTAGCAAATAACATTAAATCATCTGCAAAAAATAAATGGGAAATGAGGGGACCCTTTTTCCTTAACACGATAGGCTGCCATTGTTTTTCTCTTTGTTGCTTTTAAAATCAACTGAGCTAATCTCTTTATGCATAAAACAAAGTGATAAGGTGAAAGCGTATCCCCCCTGCCTTATTCTTCTACTAGGAATGAACTTATCAGTAGTATAACTATCCCAAAGTATGCTCATAGTAACCGATGAGACCCCTTCCATGATCAGCTTCATTGTACCCTGGTGCATCCTTGCCTCCTCAAGAGTTTGATGAAGAAAAGCCCAATTCACCCTGTCATAGGCCTTCTCCAAGTCCACTTTGATAGCCATCCAACACACTTTACCCTTCTTGGTTCTCATTGAATGCATAATCTCCTGGGTGATGCTTATGTTGTCATAATTATGCCTCCCTTTTAAGAAACTGCTTTGATTGGGCATGATCAAAGCGTCCGTATGAGGTTTCAGTATATTGGCAATGATCTTACTAATGGCTTTGAAGATGATATTACATGAACTAATAAGTCTCAACTTCTTTATCGAATCTGGATGCTCCTCTTTAGGAATGAGGCAGATAACTGATTGATTAATATTCTTAACCTTGCAAGGATTCTGAAACACATCCACCACCAACTTAATAGCCACTACTAGAAAATACAGATTTTGCGATGTGCGATTTTCATTGCAAATTAGCCAATTTCCATTGCAACTTCAGTTTGGGACAAAATTTGAGAACGAAAAAGTCTCTCAGAACTTTTTTTGAAGAGACTTCCATTGGATTGGTCTTTCAAAGCATGTCTCTTCATCTCAAAATAATATTCTTGGAGATTTCCAAAGAGAGTGACAATTTACATTGTGTTTAAGTCTTTGGATTCATAAACGGCCAAAACTTTGGCATCTCACTCCTTTGTCATGTATGTAAAGATCTTGATGACTAGTTGCTTATCATTGTAATGGATACCTAAATCATTCAACCTTGTAATAATATGAGTAAATTGCTTTTGCAAAATCATAAACACTTTTATCATCAAGTATTTCAAAAGTTTCAAACTCTCTAGCAAGTGCATTTTGTTTAGACCTCATTAGTAACTTCACGGGTAATTTCTACCGCTTTCCATATCTCTCTAGCGGTCTTATAAAAACATGGTAGAACTATAATTGAACATTTCCCAACCCAAAAGCATAATCAACGTAATCCAAATAACGTCACAAACAGAGATAGAGCAGCACAAATATAAGAGATGAAATAAAGGAAGAGAAAGCACCATAATTTATCTTGGTTAACTCTCAAACCACTAGAAAGCTACATCAAAGTTGAGGTCATCAATTCATTAAGCTCAGAACTTCTAACCGATGCCTGAGAAGCTGATATACAATTGGAATTCTACAAGATCTTTGATCACCCTTGACCAAACTCAACCTATAACCCTATAGGATCACTCCAATTGATCTAATTCAAAATTAGAGCAATCGAATCTCTCAAAACAAATATAAAGTCACCTCTTTACGTTCACAATTACAAAAGAAATCAGAGAAAAAGATGAAGAATAGAAAGATATTGAGATTTTCTCTTAAAGTATAAAAAATAAGCCTAAATGAGGGATAATCTTGAATTCTAAGTGTATCTGCATTTTGCTTTGCTAAAAACTGATTAGAAACCCTAAGTTTATGTTTATATAGGTGTATAATCGAGTTACTAGCCATTACAGCCGTTGGACACCAATTTGGGTTATTGGCTTAGTGTTTAAGCA